TCTTGTGCTAATAGGACATTCGATCCGACTTTTACCATCCCGTCCTTTGGTGGCCGAAAAAAGAAACAATTTCATATATTTTAAAATAAACGACTATAATTCTGTGCCGGAGCCCCTGTTTCCGAATCCAAGTGCCGATTTGAAGACGAATTATCCAGTTGTTGGACAATTTACTTTTCAGTCCTACTAGTAAGACTTTGAAAAAAATTGAGTAAATGTAGGATAGGATTTTTTTTCCCAAAATGTACACCTTTGTTTTGCAAGAATTTTTTTTTACGACGAAGGTATCTAGAATGTTGTCATATTATTGATAAATTTTGTTTACATGGGCAATGTTTTATGACGTACCTGATAATAAGATTGTTGACACTTATGAGGAAATATAAAGCGACTTGCAAAACAAGAGATGAAGTGTTCTTAAAGTTAAATTTATGAGACGAAATCAAGAGAAAAAAAAACCTATAAATGGGAAGGGCCTTGAAGGATAGTAAAGAAAACCCCTTTGACCATTTCTTTAGGTAAAGCACGTTACAAAAATAAATCCTAAATGGGAAGGGCCTTGAACGATAATAAAGGAAAACCCCTGATTTTATTCATGAAGGTTGAAGGTAAACTCACAAACTATTGCGAGAGAATCTAATTAAAACCTATAAATGGGAATTTTAAACATGTTAAAGGGCTTTGAAAGATAGTAAAGGGAAACCCTTATACCATTCATTTAGGTTAAAGTTTAATTCGGGACTTTATGAAATTCAACCAAACATGAGGTTTGGTAAGAAAAATTTTGAAGGGAAAATGGTCGTAATGGAATGGATAAAGTTATTTTCCATTCTTCCTAAATAATAACGAGAATCATTCCTCCTTTCATTAAGAGTTAACTTTTAAAGATTTTTTTCAAAGCAGATAGAGTATGCGTCAGATGTAGGATATATACATGCATTGAAACGGGATATTGTGTCGTGTGGTAAAAATGTATACCTTGCGGTACTGTGAAAAACATTTTTTTTTGTCAATTGTGAAAAAAGGGGTACAATCCACGATAATAATATTTCAGTAAAAAGTGTCTCAATCCATACAGTGAGAGTGTTTATATTCTATGAATTGTCAAAGATTTGTTACGATTTTTTATCAGTGTGATACTGTTTTTTTTCTGCAAAAAGGTGCCACCACTGCCCAGAGAGAGAGAGGGAGAGAGAGAGAGAGAAAGAAAAAAACCCAAGACAACTGTACAGAGTGTTTTTCATATCTTTCGTGTCTTTAAAGAATGTATTTTATTTTTTAGAAAGTGTATTTTGTAATTCTATACTTTTTTGAGTGCATTTAGATTACATTATATATTTCGTAATATTTGTCTATGTATTTCCTTTGAGAAAGCCATCTGAAAGTATGTAATTATAAAAAAAAAATTCAAGTAAAGTTTAAGTCAGCGCGACGACATCACATAAATATCACGTTAAACTTTCAATTTAATGTAAAATTCGCTGCAAGAGAGATTATTCCGTATCATAAGCTTTTTTAAACAAATCTTGGGGACACGATTTTCGATAGTATGGGGATTTATCATAACGAAAATTGCAGTAAATATGAAAATGAAACAGATTTTATGAGTTTGCAGTTTTAGTCTGACAAAAGATAACGAACGCGAGCTCTACAGATAAACGTAATTTAAAAGGCTGATCAATAGGAATTAAACTTATAAACCGGAAGGTCCCAAGAAATAAATCATGGGAATGCAGCTGCTACTTACTTGCTTATGAAAAGATGTATTTGTTTAGGGTGAAGAAGGAACCAATAGTATTGAAATGATCAGAGTTCAGGTATTTAAATAAATTAGCTACAACAATGATATTCAAAGATAATTCAAAAGATTTAAAATCATTTTAAAAGTGCATTACAAATTTAAGAAGTACTCAAGGTCAGAATAATAGTAATTAAAATTTGAATTAAAATTCAAAGTAATTATTGCAAATTTTGAAGGAGTTACAAAAATGGAGATGTAAATCTACAAAGCTACACCTAGTATAAAATGAGCGACCGGGAAAGACAGGATTTCAGTGGAAAGCTAAATCCTGACTCTCTTGGTTGCATTTTAGACTTGCGCGGTTTTTGTCAAATCATTAAAATTTTTACATGGCTTAATTTCTTTTACAGGTTCGGTTTTTAATATTAGAACTAATAATGTTTAGTATAATGTAAAGTATTTGGTAAGAAATTATTTATTGTAATCATAGCGATTACAAATATATTGTTTAATTTAATAAAAAGTGGAAAGCTGAATCTTGACTGTCTTGGTTGCATTTTATACAGGTTGGGAAACATCGCCACTCCCCAACACATCTTGGCCGCTCATGACCACAAATTTAAAAGGAATTATATAATAAGAGAGAATATCGAAATTGAGTCATTCCGGTACCTCCACAAGCCATGCGAAAGTTTAGAAGGAGTTATATAATAAACGAAATGAGATCTACGAGTTCCATGCTGTCAATGAGATAATCAGTATGTGGAAAAAAAAACAAAGAAGAACAAAATTTCCTTTTATTTTTTTAGAAATATAATGAACAAATATATCATGATAGTTAAAGTGAAGTATGCCTGAGCGTCCACAACCCATATTCAGAATGACAGCCGTGCCGAATATGTATCTACAGATGACCACTTGCTTTGTAAAACTTTCAACTGAAGAGAAATAACAGGAACACTTTTGAAATAATTTTGATTAAAACAATTTTCACCGTATGTTTTTAATTGGAATATTCTACAAGCCTACATATTTTTAATATCCTATGTATTATAAATAACAAGCTAATCATAACTTTGATTAAAATCTTTTCTAAGTTTATGGTCTTAGGACCAGATTTTTAATTTTTTTTGCCCGAATGGAGAAAAGAATGATCCACGATTTTTCAGGGAGATACAAAGATGTTTTGAAGGAGGGCTCGAGAGTAATAGTCATTTTTAGACGATAAAATTAAGGGACAAGAAAAGATTTGTATACAAATAGATGAAAATACATTCAACAACAAAACAGGTTGTTATTACAACAAAACTCATATCTCATCTTTAAGGAAGGTCAAGACTCGAATGACAACTCTGAAAGCTTTAGTTGAAAGAGATGATAAAAATAGACATAATTCAAGATCTAAATAATGTAATACACCAAAAATACACCAAAAAGATCTCATATTACGCATGTGTAATATATATATACTAATCTTCCTAATTTTCATTAATCAATGATTTATTTCACAAAACTCAACCACTGAAACACAAAAAGTTGAAATAACCAAAACTTTTTAAACTTAAAGAAATAAGAATTAAATTAGAATAACAAATATTATGCATTTTATATCACAAATGTACCAAAATTAGTCCCAAACAGTAGTAACCTTTTGAAGGAATTCAAAGAAAAACAGTAATATAATCATGGCAATTCTATCCAGAAACTACCCAGTAATAATTTTAAGAATTGTGTAGCCTGTTGTATGAAACTATTTTCTTAAATATGACTAAATCTGATTATTGGGTAGTATTTCTTAAGTTAAAACTCAAACTAAAAATAGGACCAGCGCTCATTTTTCTAAACATTCTAGTTTTTTTTCTAGATATTGCATTTTTCATGGAGTTTACTTTTCCATGTGCCCAGTGCTAAAAAATAGGGGAAGTAACTCTAATACTAAGATGGCAATTGACACGTAATGTTCAATTAATAGGAAAAATAATTGAATTTAAAACTTAAAAACAGAGCATGAGAAATCGATTAAATACAGAGGAATATGAAATTTTGAAAGAGTATTTTTTTTCTGGCACAGAAACTTAAATCGCATGCATGGTGATTATCATGCTCGTGAGTGTCTTCTTTATTAAAGCTTGAAACCCACAATCTAAACATGTGGTGAACATGTTGAAGTTTCTCATTTTTTTTTATATGTGTACCGAAAAATTAACTCTCAAACTGATCATCTTATCAGCTGATTGATTTCCATTATCACGCTTCACAGCATAGTCGCCGATTAACGATAGTGTTATTACGAGAAATAAACATTAGAAATGTAAAAGCCATAGCTTTTCTCGTGTGTATTTCTTGTGACAAGAACTTTTTTGGGTACAGTCAACTTTTATTCAGCTTTAACTTGTGCCATATTTTTTTGGTTCCAACGTCAAGGTTATAAGAAATGAATCATACTTCATATGTAGAGTATGAAAGCCACAGCACCAAATATTTATAAGTTATAGCTCAGGTTAAAGTTGGATAAAATTCTGAAAAAATGGATCAAACTCTAAGTTCAAAAGGTCAAATGTAATGGTACCCCAAGAAATGTCTTGTCACAAGAAATACAAGTACCCATTAGAAGTGTAAAATCCATAAATTTTTCTCATGTGTATTTCTTGTGACAAGACCTTTGTTTGGGAACAATCAAGTTTGACCTTTGTTTGATCTTAGAGTTTGATCCAGTTTTGCAAACTTTTATTTAAATTTAACCTGTGTCATACCTTATGGATCCAAGGTCAAGGTTTGAAGGTACGCAAATAAAGGACTTTTCACAAGAAACACACATGTGAAATATAAAGCTATCGCTTCAGTTAAACAAAAGTTATTTCCAAGGTTAAAGTTTTGCTGACAAACAGACAGACAGATATACAAACAGACACGGCAAAAGCTATGTACCCCGGAATCCTCTATTTAAGTGAAATAACAGAAAAGTTTTTTTGCTGTCGTGCATTCATTGTTACATGTATATGACCTTTTACCGAGTTTCTGAATATAACTTTACACATTTTACAAAGCATGCATAGGAAGAAGAAAAATTGAACTTAAATTATATAAATATACATGACTGTAAAATCTTTTTTTGTACATAAAAATATCGCAATGATAGAAGGACCTCTTTTAAAAAAAAAATACTACAAATTTCGAGGTGTTTTGGTATTTCTCATAACGTTCTGTATTTAAATGCATGTTTTTATAATCATCTTTCAGTAAATTTAAGCAGAGTGGCTGGAGTTACTGCTTCACAAAGCTCAACAATGAGTTCTTTGGTTGTATCACATGCTGTTGATAACAATTACAGTCAGTCTTTCCCAAGCTGTTCGCATACCGCTAAGAACAGGAACGTGGCTTGGCTTCAATTAAATCTTGGAAAAATTTACAGTCTAAAATCAGTCAAAATATACACCAGGAATGAAGGTAAAGTAAAAAGGCGCTGGGGAGTAAACTGTTATGGTTTATACAAACCATATTTCCTTGTCTTCTTTTAAGATAATGATATCTATCTAATACATTGAACTAAGTAAATGTAATTCTTTTAAAAGAAGTAATAATTTAAGCATTTGGGGTCTATTTTTTCAATATATTTTTAATTTTGGAACCAAAGTCCTACTTTCTTTTTCTTTCTTTCTTTTTCTCTCTGGTGTGTCTTTGTGGTAGGTGGGAGTGTTAGGGTGTTTGTAAGGTTTGTGAGAGAGAGAGAGAGAGAGAGAGAGGGGAAAACCTATACGGTTTAGAAAGGACATTTAATTTGACATTTTTGACTTAGACTATCTTCATATTATAATCATTTTAGTTATTAATACTGAACTTAGTACTGACAGTCAAATAAAATAAAAAAAAATTAACAAGGATGTATATTATTGTTCCACATATAGTGACTGTATAATTTGAAGAGGGACTTTCTGTTCATAAACAATAATTACTTACTTTATTTGTATATTGATGTAAATTTCTGTAAACAATTTTGAAATGGAATTGATCAGAAAAAACAAATCAGGTCCATCAATACTTAGTCATTAAATTTGAACGGAAATACTATTCTATAATTAAAAGATTCTCGATCAAGAGTAATACAATTAGGAGCTTTGAAGTAGATCGTGTGTAGGGCTAAAACTCTATGGTGCAGAGATGAAGACCGAGTGCATAAATATTACTAAGGTTGATATACCTTGATTGGATGAGGGTGTCATGTTGGTATTCATAGGTCAACGGAAAGACCTACGGACAAAGTGTAGGTTGCATTGCAATGGTAAGACAGCTAATGAAAAATACTGTTGTTATCCAGGACCAAAAATACCCTCTGAGCATAAAATATTCTGTTTTGCCGAATAGCAGCAAATCTTCTTTTGGCTTTCATTTGGACTTATCTCTTGACCAATCTGTTGGTCTAAATTTCCGGATGTTACTTTAATTACTTTGGAGATTTGGTTCAACTGGGAATCACTGTCTAGTTAGGAGACTATACCAGGGCATCAACAATAGTGGGAAACATGGGATAATTTGCATAACGGGCGAAGCTTATTATGTCAAAATTATCCCATGTTTCCCACTATTGTTTATGTCCCTGGTATAATCTCCTAACTAGACACTGATTCCTTATGTTTTCATTTTTACTTGAAACAACAATCTTGAAATAAATCAAAGTACCTGTTAATTTAGTAGATTTGAAATGCACGAAGCATTCCATTTTTTTCCCACTGCCCCGCCCCATGACGTAAAACTTTACTATACAAAATTGTCTCATAAAACACGAAACAAATTTAATGATTGTAGTCAAAAATCAACATTTATGTAATAAACAACAAAATAATTTTAAAATATGATCAAAGCGCTCTTGTTAACCTAAATTATATATGTGACCTAGATTTAGGTTGTCGGAAATACAAGCACGCTTATGCATGTATACCCTATTTCACTTCTCCATCCCAGATAGCATGACTACGTTGGCCCAACGTTGGCTAATGGTTGGACCGTTGGCCGATGGTTGGCGTTGGGTTTACAACGTTGGCCCAATGTTGGGCCAATGTTAACATTACACTATTTTACTCAGAGGCCGAGGTTGGTTGGGGACACAACGTTGGCCCAATATCGGGCCAATGTCAACATTACAATTTTACTCGGAGGCCGAGGCTGGTTGGGGACACAACGTTGGCCCAACGTTGGGCCATTGTTGTTGGCTTGTCACCACTAAGTTGACATATTTTGATGGGAGTACAACATTGACCCAACGTTGGGCCAACATTGGTGAATCACGTTCTTATTTTGTCGTAGTTTGTTGGGCATACAACGTTGGCCCAGTGTTGGGTCAATGTCATCATAACAGTATTTTACTTAGAAGCTGGGGTGAGGACACTACAATGACCCAACGTAGGACCACTGTTTACAACGTTGGCCCATTGTTGGATCAATGTCAACATTACAATATTTTACTCAGAGGCCGAGGTTGGTTGTGGACACAACGGTGACCCAACGTTGGGCCACTGTTGTTAGCTTGCCACCAATAAGCTGACATATTTTGTTGGGAGTACAACATTGGCCCAACGTTAGGCCAACGTTGGTGAGTCACGACATTATTTCGATACAATATTTTGTATAGCCAACGTTGAACCAACTTTAGGTGAAGTCAGAATTCAGGAAACGTGAACTGTTTGTAATAATATCGGACAAGAAGATGGAAAAGTGAAAGAAAAATAAATAGTAAATTATGTACATTTAATGTTATACATATATATACCAACCATGAGTACCTAAAAACATGCATGACGATGTATCAAGTTATATAATTTTTATATTTTTTAGTTTAATGTAAACTTTTAAATATGTGTAAATGTTAAAAAAAACACTACTAGTTCTATAAAGTAAATGTTTTTTGAGAATAACATAACATAAATTCAAATTAACTTGCATGTTTTAAAAAATGTAAGACGAGCAAGACACACACTTTTTAAAGTGTTGCATTTAGGGGGCATATTCTAAGATAAGAGAACATTTTCTGACCAAACAATTAGGCCAGGGTTTTTCACAGCGTGAGACTGGCCAGTTTCTATAGTAATTGTGATATCTAATAGGACAGGATGGTCAAATCTGCATCCTTTTAGCACGCCTAACACTTTATTCTCGGATGTGTCCTACAGCAGAACGTTGAAGATTTTATGTTAAAAAGAAAGCTTTGGAATGTGTATTCTTTAATGTGGATTAACTTTTATAGCAATGTCCAGACATTTCACATACGGATCGAAATGTAAGTACTATATTTACCTCAAATAACATGTATTTCAGAATGCAAAGTTTGTTTCATGCGATCTTTATCATGTTTATATTTTTCTAGCTTGCTTTAGTTCTAAATTAAATATGTAACTAGATAAGTCGCTAATCACTGTATCCTCTCTGCATAAAACTTATAAAATAAAATGTATCATTGATCTATGTCAATTAATATTACCTTATATAATTAGAATCTAATTTGTAAATTTTATTTTTGATTATCTTTGAATTTTTGCTTGGGTCACTTTCGTTTCATAAATTTCTCTTATATTTTTACCATTAAGAAAACAAATTTTGGAATTGTTACTTTGTGTTTCACATGTTTCAGGGAAATCAAATCTCTTATGATATAAAGTTCTCATTTTATTTAATTAGTGGAAATAACTTGGTGAATGAAGAGGAGTGTATTTGCTGCCATGTTTTAAAAAATTGTATTGGAAGGCAAATAAAGATATCCAGCTTTTTCAAAGATGATAAGGATTTAAAAAGTAAGTAAGAAAATACGTGCTCTGTTCCCCTTACAAATGCTATACTTATACCTTAAAATAAATGCTGAAAAAAATTATGAATAATACATCTAAATAAAAATTTCGAATACACAGATTTAATTAAAAAAAAAAACTATAAACTTGCAATTGTGTAAATTAAGTACTGCTTAAATTTAATTTTCATAATTTCTCTTTCTTTTTTGAGATTTGCTTAATAAAATGGATTTTATTTTAAGGAGCTGCTCGGACTAACCGCTTGTATGCTGAATCAATTTCTATGGAATTTCAATGAGTAGGACGATGAAGGAAAAATAAAAACAAGCAGGAAAAGAAAAAAGAAAATGCGTTCAAAAATACAATGGAGGACAGCGATTGGTTATAAACCTGTTAACAAAAAGTGTACAAGTTAAATGTGTGGAAAACTTTTAAAATTTAGTTTACTTGATACAAATTTCAATCTAAATCAGAGGCAAAATATTTATTGTTTTAACTGTATTAAAACACATTTGTTATTTTATACTTTCATTTACTTTTCTTGTATAGAAACAATAAATTTAATCACTGCTAATTTATTTGTTATGATGAATTGTAAAAAGTTTAACAAGCCTTGTAAATTTATTTTAGCTAACTTGTATTTATTAAGTAGGATTGGTGGTAGATTTTTTTTTTATTTTAGAAACGATCGGATATGTTAATATACAAGCTTGTAACAATTAAATCTTTATACACATTGGGCCAATGTTGGTCTAATGTATTGGGCCAACATTGGGCCAATGAGCAAAATGACATTGGGCCAACGTCATTTGCCAACATCGGCCCAATGTTCTTGATGACGTTGGGCCAACATTGGCCCAATGTCGCATTCATTGGCCCAATGTTGGCGCAACGTTGGGCCAATATCTGCAGAAATAACACTCTACATAGGGCCAACGTTGGCCCAACATATCGGGCCAACATTGGGCCGATGAGCAAACTTACGTTGGGCCAATGTCATTTGCCAACATTGGCCCAATGTAACCGATGACATTGGCCCAACGTTGGCCCAATGTTAGCATGCTATCTGGGATATTGAAATCAATGCTGCAGTTGATGAAACGGGAGTTGGTCAGGAAACCGCTTTGTGTGGATGTAAAAATAGCAGAGAGAGTTGAGTTGCTTCGAATGTTAAAAAAGCAAAGGAAGATTAGTTGCGTACGAAGTCGGATGGTAATGACTGAGGGACGATATCTGTATCAGTTGATGGAGTGTGGCTGTGCCGATTTCTCTCCGTGCTCCAGATAGGCTGTTTACGGAAATGCAGTTCTCGGCCTCGCTGATTGTGGACATAGTTACACTAACGACTTGCTTTTATCCGAAGATAATTAATTGTTTATTTTGTTTGTAAAAGGATAAATCATACCTAATTACTTAGTAAACAATTAAACAAACAATCTATTTTTTTTATCTTTAGTGTATTTATACGCTTCTCGTATACACGCATGTTGGCATTTCCCTAATTAAAAAAAACTATAGTAAACTATAGTTTACAATATTATTAAATGTGTCAAAATTTTCGCAAAAGATTTTACAAAGTGTCAAAGTTTTCGATAACGTTTTTCAAAGTATCAAAGTTTTCGCCAAAGTTTTTCAAAGTGTCAAAGTTTTCGATAAAGTTTTTCAAAGTGTCAATGTTTTCATCAAAGTTTTTAAAGGGTCAAAGTTTTCGTTAAAGTTCTGCAAAGTGTCAAATTCTTCAATGAACTTTTTCAAAGTTTCAAAGTTTTCGATAAAGTTTGTCAAAAAGATCACTATAGTTAACCAAAGTTTTCACAGTGTCAAAGGTATACAAAAGTAAAATATAGTCAACTATAGTATTTTTGTTAGGGTTGACCTTTCATTAGTATTTCAATAGAGAACTGTACATACATAATTAACAACATTTACTTTTGTAGTGTTTATCATCAAGAAAACAAATGGAAATGGAAATATTACTCCTTTGAAGTATTCGGGACAAATATTTAACAATTCAATATAAAGTGCATTGGTCTATACTGATCACAATTCTGCTGAAACCAAACTTATTAACCCAAATAATTATTAACCCAAACTATACGATCACGATGAATTTAAATAAACAAATTTTGAAACAAATAAAATTTTTGATTGAGAGAGAGAGAGAGAGAGAGAGAGAGAGAGAGAGAGAGAGAGAGAGAAATTTCATTATCTCCTCTCACAACAGTATTTAGTATTTTAAGCAAGGAAAAATAAATAAATAAAATGAATAAATAAAGAAGGCTAAAATATATCCAAAGAATCTTGTTTTATTTTCACCTTTCACTTTTCCTTTAATAATTTGTTTATGATATTAATAGAAATAAATATATCCCTCATTCCAGCTAACTGGCCTCCATACCGTTTTCGCCAGTTTTACTTAGACGTATCAAATTCATCGGCACAAAACTCAACACAGCGAGTGCGATGTTACACAGATAACTCAACCCTAGCCACGCCCTCTCCCGTGATTGACATCCCTTGTAAACAGACGGCGAGATACGTCATTGTAGAGACTAAATACAAAGCACCAGAAGATACAGATTCTACAGGACCTATCTTAGAGATATGTGAAATTGAAGTGATTGGTAATTCATGAAAGTTTTCTTTTTAATTTTGTTTCAATAAGGAATACTAGTATATGTGCCTGTTCAACCTTTGTTATTTTCACCTGTCATTTCTCTCTTTCCAATGTCATTTCACTCCATAACAGAGGTCATTTCATCCCATCAGTATTTATTTAGACTTAAAAATTGGTAGAACTCTAAAATTATTTAATGACGAGAGTCACGCGGAATTGTACCGATAAGCACATGACGATGAACAAGAACACTTTAACACAGATATTGTAAGAACATCAAAATAGAGGTCAACACAATTCATTTCAAAAAACCTTGTACCAATTTCATTTTTGATTGAAAATCAGTCACTGCATATGCTCAAGCATCAGCATAATAACTATATGCACTGGCTCTCAATTCCTAAACAAATGTTCCCGTTATGTTTGAAACACAGCTTGTGAAAGCTATCTCACACAACACAAAAATTCTTTAACCACTTCTTTTCAAACTTTAGTGGAAGCTTTATAACTAGTATGTTATTTTAAGTTTAAATTTAATATTTTTAAAAACAAGTTTAGAAAAAATTAACAATCTTTTGATGTGTAGAAAAAAAATCTGTATTTTTTTAAAAAAGTTTTGCCGTGCTCCGTACATTAACTTAAGAGGCAATATAAAAACATTAATATTTTAAAAGGAATAAATTAATATCAAAAAAACATCAAAATTCTGCTTGAATCTTACAGATTCACGGTTTGATTTCAGAATTATCCATGGCAATGAAATCAAAATGTTTTTCCCACTCTTGGGTAATGCTTATTGTAGTGGCAATGTATTGCAATGTATTACATGAATTCAAAGTAATGCTAGTAACGTGCAAAGCCCAAAAATTTGCATTACATATATATGAAACGGTGATGTAATGGAGTCCAGTCAAACTGTCATAAACCTTAAACAAACTGCAACAGAATTCTTTTCTTTATTTTTATTTTTAATTAGTAAATTGTATTCTAATTAACATATAAACACTCTAGAAAAATATATAAAGCTTAAGGTGAAAGATGTTCTAGAGTTTTGATAAATTAAAAGGTACATTATAAATATAACCAAATTCAACTGTAATGATTTCTGTTGCAATTTGATTGAAGTTTGGTGTTTTTGAGCTAGATTTACTGGACTAATGCATTACTTGATAAAATCCAGTGTAATGCCAGCATTACATATCATAACAAAGCATTATTTATTAAAAAAAAGAAATTATAATGGACATTGATGATGAAAACTATTGTTGTATTATAATTATTTATTTTTTTTTTCTTATTTTCTGCAAATGATATAATTGAATAAAACTGTTAAAACAGTATGACATTTAACTTTAGACATGACATACAGCGCCATAGCAAAAGCATTCGCGATTTTTCAAAATGGCGGCCGTAAACAAGGACGCGCATAACAAAATAAAACTATTTTAAAAGCATGAAAAACTGACTTACTGTTTTCAACATTTTGCGAGTTGACCTTTGGATCTTATTACTGCCTGGATCCGACGGGGAATCGATAGGTATAGGTTCTTACATACGCAAGGGCGATGTTTTGCCAGATGTAAAGTTTTGTATTAAAAAATTCGTCCTTGGTTTTGATGTCTCGGGCCGTGTTTTGAAGTGAACGTGTTATTTTCAACCAATTTTTTTCAATTATATTAATGTCCGGGGGACTGTGCCGGCCATGTGATGGAAAGAATGCTGTTGTTTGTCTTATATTCACACGTAATCTTGGCTCTGTGCACGGGTGCATTGTCATCTTGAAATAGGTAAGTTTTATTCGGAAAATGCCTCGCTATAACTTGCCACAAATGTTCGTCGAGTATATCTAATAGTATATACTTTTGAGCAGTTATGTTGCCATTAACAAGACACAAAGTCCCTACACCATCGTAAGTAATACATCCCCATACCATAACTGCAACTCGACATTTACGGGGAGGGCACATGCATTGGGATAGGTTCGCCTCATTTGCTCATCTCCAGACATAAACCCTCTGATTATCTCCAATTACAACTTGACTTGCGTCAGAAAATATGACATTTTGCCAATATTGTTCCACTGTCAGTCGTCGTTTACCCAAACATCAAGATAATCGCTTTTTCCGATTAACTTCACGAACAACCATTCGTTTTCTCACAACTTTTCTTTGATAGCCTTTCTAAGAAATCTCTGGACTGTACATTTACTTACAGTTTCTGTAGGACATTTTCCTTCATTTAAATCTAACATAACATTATTTAGGGTCCTGTGCCTGTTGCTTTTGACCGTCCGCATAACCAGTTTTTATCTCTGTGTGACAACTTTCGAGGTCTTCATGTTCGAGGTAAATTTTTCACAGTTCCCCGTTTAATAAATCTATTCCAAACATATCTCACGGTAGACTCACTAATATTCAACACACGAACTATTTCTGAAGTTTTGTGTTTCTCACTTTTCAAAGTTACGAAGATTTTTTGTTTCAGCACTCAACTCAGAGGGTTTTCGACCCATGCTTAAATTCTGCTTGTTTACATTCACTACGGAAGTGCAGACGATAATTTAATATAAAATTACGTCATTTCCTACATAAAGATAACTCCGTAAAAAAAATAAACAGATATCTCTTATTTTCCATAGAGTTATCTTTCTTTTCCTACTCGAGACGCGAAAATGAGCCGTCGCCATTTTTAAAAATCGCGGATACTTTTGCTATGGCGCTGTAGTCCACACTTTTTATTACCATTTCTAATTATGATATCCAAAATATTTTCAGACTCAAGTGGAGATATTTCTAAACAGAATTCCAGGTCTAATATTGAACTCGCAAACATTTCCACTTCTAAAGATATGAAATCCTAAAACTCAGAATCCCATGGGAGAATGGTGGGATTTTCAGTCCCACCAACTATCTTACGTTTCTCACACGGGAGAAAAAATATCAGATGGGATGTTTTCTCTTATTATACCTCTACTGTAATTACTCTATATAAATTTATTGTACCTCTTCCGTAATTACACTATATAAAATTAATACCATAAAACTGTCTATTTTTCCGAGAAGAGACTACTGCCTTCAAATGATGATTATTCCCTGCAAAATCAGAGCTACTCCCTCGTGAATATTTATTAGTAATTTTAACTAATCAAAGTTTTCAGAAAGCGGAGCGTTCATTTAACCAATCAAAGTGTTCAGTAAGCGGTGCGTTCAATGAATCTCGAGTCTATGACGTCATGTAATTACAGCAATGTAACAACGACGTCAAAACATTTCGACATGCGATTGAATTCTAGAAAAATGAAGACAACGACAATTCCTCGAAATTTCAGTGAAAATACTTTTTAATTTTTTTTTAATTGTTTAAGGATTCGATGCATTACTTATCATACAATGTGTTAAACTACGTGCATTTGTTATTATGCCTGTACAGTTTTTTTAAATGTCGGAATACATGTATCTGGTAAAAAAAAATAAATCGCCTATGATTGATTCGGTATAATACAACAGTTATGGAATGGGAACTTAAAATTGCAAATTTATGGTTCCCCTCATCAGGAACTTATTTCCCTTAGTTTCCTTCCTCGGGGAACCATGAATTTACTATTTTCCTCGTACCCATTCCATAACTGTATATTTAGTGGATTTTTTTCTCCCATGAATTTGTTCAAATGGCATAAATATGCATACCAGGTCTAGCTCTAGACATTATGTAATTTTATTTTATCTTCTACGGATTGGTAGGCCATCAAATTACACACACATACACACTCTACTGATTTCAAGAACATTGCTCCAGAATAAAGGAATGACACTTTACAGACGACTCGGAGAATGCTGATTACATAAAAATCTTCTGCGTATTATATTGCTATATTTGAAGATTAATAATTTTAAAACACTTTCATTTATAGCCCCACTGAAAGTGACACTGCGATAGATCTTTTCTTTAACCAATCCACTATTAAAATAAAAATTAAAAAAACACGCTACGAAAATATAAATTAATATTGAATATCATGAATAGCATACTGGGTGTTTATCTTCCTTTGTCGCATAAATATATCACATACAGTAATTTATATCGAAAGTCGTGGATCTAAATGGAATGAACACATTTAAAAAAAGTAATTCATAGTGTCAAGAATTAGTAAACGCTATTTGAAAATTGCTTTGACGATTGTTATAATTATTTAGATACAAGAGAGTATATTTTTTTAGAAAAATTAATTTTCATTTTGTACTTTAAATATTTCAACGACTATAAATTTTAAAATATCATTAATTTCGTTTTATATTGTTTTGGTTGATATTTTCAAAGGGAGGTAACTCGCGTTTTAGACCAAGACTGTTTTTTCACCTGTAATCGGTAAGATGCACCGCGACGGTGTGATTTACCTGGATTACTGAACCGCGGGGGCACGCGGTTTTTACCTGAGACACCTGTACTAACCGCGATGAGATTCACACCGCGGGGGTGCGCGGTAAATGCATAAACCGCGTTGACTGTACTGTATATATATATATATATATATATATATATATATATATATATATATATATATATATATATATATATATATATATATATATATATATATATATATATATATTTCATCATTTTTTTTTCCAAGGTTGTGATGTAGGTCATTATGGTGAAAATTGTCTGTCTTGTCAAGGTTGCTCAACATGTGACATCAATAGTGGCGAATGCGGTATGGAAAATACATTTACTGCAAATTTGCTGTTTCAGCAATGAAAATATATAATCTATTATAATAACTGTTACTTTAGAAATGCAACATGCAAAATTAAGTATCGCATTTACTCTGAGGATTTGTTTAAGAAATAAAGTCCGCGTTTTCGTGAATGTTGCAGAATAACCTCCGAGGTCAAGAAATGTTGTTTGAAAGATAAAAGCCGAGGCGCTAGCCGAGGCTTTTATATTTCAAACAACATTTCGAGACCGAGGAGGTTATTCTGCATCATTCACGACAACAAGGACGTTATTTCTATTCTGCAAAGATCGATAAATACGGCTGATCGTTTCCTCTATAGAGAAACGATTTAGGTCACCATGTCTCGATTTCGCTGTTCCATTTAACACCAGAGGTAAAATTTTTGTTGCTTACCTGTGTATAGAATGCAGACGATTTGAGCTTTCATTACATTAAAAATAGCCTTTTCAGATTATAAATTTGTTCGTTATATGTATTGATCAGTTAGAATGAATATACAATAACAAAATCATTTTCCTGTTTTACTGCTAAAATCACGTTGTTTAATGTGTAGGGACGTCCGTGGAATAGCCCCGCTTAGCTATAAAAAGCGACATTCATCAGCGACTTGATGCAATTTACAGTGTTTATACTGCAAAAGACAACACATCGATGCGGTCTAAACAAGTACTAGTATTTCATTCTACAGCCAAACATGCATTTGAATTGTTCAGATTTGATACGTGTTTCTGATCTGATAATTTTTTGATGACGTTCGTGATTTATTGGAGAATAATGTCCGGCGGTTTCCTTTGAAGTTTTCAATAATCGTGGTAGAATTTTTTATTTAAGTTGATGAATCTCTTGTTATTATTGCTGTTGTTGTTGTATTCGTAAACTATACCAGTTCTTCAGTGCCTTTTTAAATGAAATAAAAACCTCAGCAATTCATATTTTGTATACATCAGAGGCTGAATCGAATCTTACATTAATTTTACTGTAAAAATCTTTTAGACATCATGGTCTTTATATTTGTGCCTTATAACACATTAATTTGTAACCATCAATTTTTACATAATTTATTGTTAATGTGAGGAAAAATACTGCTATACAATAGCTCACCTGTATGGACAATTACATAAATATAACTAGCAATAAAATTGTTCATCAATCAAATTTTAGACAAAATTATTATTTTTATGTTTTTTTAGAGACAAAATCTTATCCTTTTTACAGTCATTGGCACGAATATTATTATTTTTAGCTCAACTGAATTGAAAACTCAAGTGACCTTTTCTGATCAAAAGTTGTTGTCCGTTGTCTGTCGTCGCCGTTGTTATTGTTGTCGTCGTTGTTGTAAGCTTTCACATGTTCATCTTCTTAAGAACCAGATGGCCAATTTTAATAGAACTTGCCATATGGTAGCCTTGGGTGAAGGGAATTTACGTTTCTTTAAATGAAGGGCCATGCCATATTCGAAGACAATAATTATGAATTAATGATAAATTAATGCTATCTTTTAAAACTTTTGTTTTCAAGAACCACTGGGCCAGGCAGAATGAAACTCGTGTAGAAATATCCTTTTGTAATGAACATTCAATTCTGTTTTAATCAAAACCCGCGACGGTAAGGTTGGGCTACAATGGGGTTTCAAAGTTTAACATAGATATACATGAGGAAAAATCTGTCATTGGTCAAAGTTATATGAAATCATTCTCTAAAAGTGTAGATTCATGTTTGTTCAAATCATGATTCTTGGGGTGGGGGCACAAAGAGAGATAAAAGTTTAATATAGGTATACATAGGGAATTTTTCTTTAAGAACTTCTTCTCAAGAACAGCAAAGCCATGATTGTTCTTAGTTATATGGAAGCATCCTCTGGTAGTGAGATTCAATATTATTCAAATCATGACCCCTGGTGCAAAAGTGGGGTCATTGTGGTAAATCAAAGTAGGATTACATATTATAATTTTTTTTCTTATTCTTCTTCTTTAGAACAGCAAAGCTGTGATTTATCATAGTTATATGGAAGGATATATGGAAGAGTGGGTCAAAAATTGGGCACATCAGAGATTTACATAGGAATAAAAATCGTTAAAATTCTCCTCAAAGCCATGATTGATAATCAATTTAAAAACATCATTAATGTGGATCATAACAATTATCAACACAGCCATAACATATGCATGTATGTGTCATATTATTTCAAAAGCATTCCTAGGAAGTGTATATTTAGGTTTGTTCAACATCCCCCCTCCTCCCTCGAACCCACTTTTCAAGACTGAACTGATTTTTAGGTCACCCGAGTAAACTCAGGTGACCTATTGCTATCTGTTTTCGTCCGTCGTCGTGCGGTGTGCGTCGTGCGTCGTGCGTCGTGTGTTAACATTTGAACATTTTTAGCTTCTTCTCTGCAACCACTCGACCAATTTCAATCAAATTTGGTATAAAGCATTTATTGGTAAAGGGGGACAAAAATTGGGAATTTCATGGTCCCTGCCCCTCTGGAGCTGGAGGGGTGGGGCCGAAACCACCAAAATTAATGTAATCTTTAAAAATCTTCTTCTTTACTCCTGGACATCAAGCCGTCAAACTGTTAGCATGAATGTAATAGCCATTGAGTCTTCTACCAAACTGTGAAATTCATGGGCCCAAGATCAAGGGTTCTAGTGCTAGGGTGGGGCTCTATTGATTACAGTATATAGTAAAAAATGCATCATTTTTTAAAAAATCTTCTTCTCTGCTTCTGGGTAGTAAATAAACTAACTAAACACACAGTTATGATGAGCAAGAATGCCTCTTTCAAAATTGTGAAGTTTATGGCCCCAGGGTCAGGAGTTCTGGTGTTAGGGCGGGGCTATATAAATTATATAGTGAAAATACATTACATCTTTGAAAATCTTTTTCTCTGCTCCTGGGTATTAATTCAACTAAGTAAGTACATGTACATAGTTATAATGAGCAAGAATGCCTCTTTCAAAATTGTAAATTTTTTTGGCCCATGGTCAGGGCCATGGTTCTTAGGTTAGGGCGGGGCTCTATTGATTATATAGTGAAAATATTTTACATCTTTGAAAATCTTCTTCTCTGCTCCTCGGTAAATAAACTAACTAATTACATAGTTATGATGAGCAAGAATTCCTGTTTCTTAATTGTGAATTTTATGGCCCCAGGGGTTCTGGTGGTTCTGGTTCAGGGGTTCTGGTGCTAGGGTGGGGCTCTATTCATAATATAATGAAAATACATTACGTCTCTTTGAAAATCTTCTTCTCTGCTCATTGATATTAAGCAGATGAATATCTATGTATATCTATATAGCCTAATGATGAGCAAGGGCCATTCTTCCTGAATTGTGAATTTCAAGGCCCCTGGGTCAGGGGTACTAAAGGTGGGGGGGGGGGTGTGTGCTCTTCTTATATACTGAAAATCAATTAAGGGATTGAAACCTGCTCCTTGATATTAATCAAACATTTTTGATAAGCAAGGATGCATTTTCCAAAATTGTGAAATGCGTGGACCAAGGGTCAGGGGTTTTTGTGTGGTAGTAGCACTACTGATTAATAGAAATGCATTTTTTTTTGTTCTCCTACTCTGTCTATAGGTATTAAGTAACCAAAGAAACTATGCTAAATGTATAGTTAAGATAAGTAATGGTGCATTGTGAATGCCATGACATCTACTTTAAAACATGAACCAAATATAATCGCTGGAAAAATGTTGTATGATGCTCAGGTGACCTATAAGGCCCGTGGGCCTCTTATTTCTTTACTTAGCTACATTCAAGTTGGTTGATAAGGTTAGCTATGTGGCGCCTGAATATAATAATGAGCAAAATGGACCTAAAAATATGTTTTGTTTCAGAAAATTAGTTTTAATACTTACAATTAAAATAGTTCTTAATTTTTTAAAAATGTATTTAAGATATCCAGTGCAGCATTACTTGCACTAGGGGACTATGTGACGACAGTGGGCTATGTGTCCAAGGATGTATCAGTGGTTACTGGGGAAGCAACTGTATGAACCGTTGTCCAGTAAATTGTTTTGATAACAACTGCCACAATAATGGTTCCTGTATTGGCTGCTCAAGTGGTTCTTATGGAGATTATTGTACCAAGAAATGTAACAACAGATGCAATTCAAAAGTATGCAACCAAAATACGGGAGATTGTGCTGATACCTGTGTTGTTGGATATTATGGATCAAAATGTGAATCTCCTTGCAGCACCAACTGTTCCTCTGAATCCTGCAGAAAAGATGACGGGGCATGTTTAAATGGGTGTAAAAATAGTTTCTTCGGTTCTCGATGCGAACACTTGTGTAATCAACAGTGTACAAATACATCATGTGATGTTTTCAGTGGACACTGTGTTGGAGGTTGCAATGAAGGATTTTATGGGGCATTTTGCAACCTGACCTGTAGTTCTACGTGTGCGACTTCTAAATGTAATCAGTTGGATGGCGTGTGCAACGACGGGTGCTTACCACACTGGAGTGGAAAAACTTGTGAAGGTAAAAGTTTTATTTAAATGAATTATTTTGATGAAAATCAAAAAGATAACGAACCATAAATAATGCAACTCTGGGAAGCAGGGAAAAAATTTTGGGAATTTCTAAAGTCGGGATCGAATGCCTAAGAGGAGAAAGCATCGCCGAATCCTGTTGACCGGTGTCTCTTGTATTTGTTTAGAGGACCGATAAATAATTAGTATCATAAACGTTGTAACAATAATCCGTTTTCAATTAAATGTTTCACCAGAAAAATTTGTTATCAGACTATTAAAATCATTTGATTATGATTTCAATTAAAAGCAGCTGAATTTAAGGATAAAGTGTATGGGGTTTTTTTTCATAGGAAAATATAAATATATTCAAAACAAAACTGAAAAAAATTGAAAACCATTTCAGTATATATAGTGATGATGTTAGATTCTTTGTTACTTTCTTTTTTTATCTTTTATCCTGCGTACACAACGCCTAATGTTTAAAATAAAGCACAATTCCTATTTAAAACATTCGCATTTCTTAATTCTTAACTGATTAATAATTTATCATATGTAAAAGTCCACATGCTATTAGATTATAAAATATATATAACAAATCCATGTGTGCAAGAAAGATTTCCTTCATATGTATGCCCTGCTTATACGAGGGTTGTTCGAAAAGTTCGTGGACAAATGTCATATCTTTTTTATTTGACGTCATATGTTATCCAAATTTGGAAGAAATATTTTACCAATAAATCCAAATGATATTTATTAATTTTGACAAAATATTACGACTGATTAAAAACTTATCCAGATTTTAAAAATGCAAAAATTGGATCGCGGAGCAGGTTAAAATTTAGTCAGTTACAGAAAATACAATAAATAATGTCTATAGTCACATTCTCTGTAAAATGGTGGAAAAACGAAAAACTACCTAGAAATTCAATTTAAGAATTGTTACAACGATATGTGTACCAAATTATGGTTTTATATTTTGCTTTGTTGAAAAGAAATCAACTTGATAAGTAAGTAGTCCTTATTGAAAACGACAAAAACGATGACATTTTAGAACGTCACGGAGCAGCAGATACCGAAGCAATTTTGTGTTTTTCTAAGGAAAAATCCCGATTAAACTCCAAAAATGTTGAAGGAATCAAGAAAATATGTCACAAGCGAGTTGTGCATGTGTGTTCAAATAGAACAGGCAATATTTGAGTGACAGAGACTCTGTATCGGAAGAGGATGACCAGCGAAGAATCATTTTTACTGTTAACATCTGAACAAAACTTTAAAATTTGAAACGTAAATGAAAGACAAAGGCGCTTCAGAGTTGCTTATCCTGTGAAAGCAGAGTAAAGTACATTTGTACTAAAAGAAATTAAAACCTTAACAAAGAAGATTATACAGTGAGATCATTTCTTAAAAAAATAAATGTCAAGTATTAGAAAAAGAATTAAATGAATGGGCATTGGAATATTCTGTGTGAAATGTATAGGTATAGTATCTATTATAAATTCTCGACGCTATGTGTTGACGCTACATTGCCGTTTTGTGTGCTCCGCGGGTTCAAAACATGTTGATGTTAAAATGAAGTAAATTTATTTGTGTTAAATCGAATGGAATGAAACTTCACACATCAAGAAAAAAAATATTTTTTTCATATAATAATGAGCTTGTTTTAAATTTCCAGTGAGTAATATAACGAAGATGGACATCGTCCACGAACTTTTCGAACAACCCTCGTATTATTATCCATGCAATTTCTTTTTTTATTGTAGCTAATCAGCAATTATTTGAGAACAACACGAAGACTGAAGTGTATTCGGCTTTGTATGTTGTGGTAGCGATTCTGTTAATAAGTATTTTTCTCAACATATTTCTCATTGTAAGGTAAGAATATAATTTATTAATTTTCTCAAAATGATTTTTTTTAACAAACAATGAAGAAAAAATGCTTGACTGTATAAATGGAATAATGAGCACTATATTTTACAATACATTAATTTTTTTCTTGATTTTAAATACATTTATCTACCATTCATTTAGACAGTTTTGATATTTTTTTATGTTACAGGAATGCTCGAAAAAACATTAATAAAAGACAGAAGACAGAACATTTAAAAGAAACTTGCCATGTTGATCAAAACAAAGACGCAAACAAAGCAGTTTATGACAGTGTAGAAGATAACGCAGGCTACCACGAACTAGGTGAACTAAGTCAACCCTCTAATTATGATCAACTCAAGTGAATGTAGGGAACTAAGTCAACCCTCTCATTATTATCAACTCAAGTGAATGTTGATCTAGTTTTGTAGATCTTCTGAACCGAGCTTCGAGACTGCTACTGGTTCTGACACACCAAAAAAATATATGATAGTAACATTGACAAGAATATTAAAGAAGTTTTTTTTTTTAATTGCAATTATTATGCAATTTATTGCATATTACTTAATGTATAGATACATGTAAATATATGAAACAATTCGGCATATGCTTATTTTAGGTGTTTAGTACATGTATGCATAGTGAGGAATCTGTGCTTACCAGGTATTTTCAATCAATGTAAGAAATAACACCAAATCAAGATAAAAAATTTATAGATATGCTTTCATTTTACTAGATTCTGAAGATAGACGTTCGGAATTATTTGCAGGATTCTTATTCTTTTTTCTCAACTAAAATTCTAGGAAAAAAAATTTAATGTTCAATATCCTGACGTTTTATTGTACGCTGAGTTTGTACATGTATTACGTATATGACTATACCCGAAACATTTTGTATATTGGCGTTCAATATCGAACGTCTCCGTTGTAAACAAATGAATGTCCTCTGGTCAACTCTCAGAGGCAATCTTACGATAGGTTGTGGCAGCTAAATTGTGTTTATTTTCACACAAAATTGAAATTATCAATTGATTATATAGTACATATTTAGTACATAATAGCCTCTATAAAACAACAATAAGCAAAAGTATAACGCTTGGTTGGGTCATTGGAATAATGCAATATTGAACACTTGCAGGGTAGGCGTTTAAACTAAAACATTTTTTTTTGAATATTTTAAAATAAATTAAAAAATATACAGATCAATGGATTTATAATAAAGGAGTTATTGAACTTTTTATTGTTGAATATTGGCATTCGTTGGCCGTACAAATAAACTGGCAAGCTCGTACCGTATATAATGTATTCCTATAGCTACTATACGATATATGCTATAGGCATGGGTATCAAGATAATAAAATACAAAGTTCACTTGAGCACGATGATTTGTTGAAGATTTGTTTAATACTCGACCACTAGTACCGATAATTAATTGCTGTAAATCATGCTTCATATACTTCATTTGAATAAAAGAATTACACAAAAATTTTCAAATGTTTAATCCAAAATTACTTCAGAATTTTTGTGTACAGATAAACTTGTAAAAAAATAAATTGATAAATCATGACGAAATTGTATTTTCTCTGTACATTACATGTAAAGTTCTTCAAACTTACGGCTTAAAGAGACCATGTTGAGGGGGAAATGCTCAACAGCTTTACATTCTTTAACTACTTATTTCTTGACCTCTGATCAGTGTATTTTGCAAACATGTATCTTTTTTCTCAAGAACCTTTATACTATATATTCGAGAAAAGTTGTAATCAATACTTTCAATGATCCGTACATGTATTTATTCATGGACAAAAAGTAAATATTTTAGAGGTACTAGAATATCAATTTACAGTTCAGCTTACCTAATTTTTTTTTATTTCCAAACATTATCTTTTATTAGAAGTAATCTTTTTTGCTGTCTTATCAGAAACCAGACTTGAATTTGTTGCGCAGTTTATCCGAAAAAAGTGTTGTTCCTAGAAACTTTGATAAATTCTATGATTTTTATATAAGAAATCACAAATGTCATAGATATGTATTTCAGTTTCTTTTATGTAGGTTCAATTCTTTCAGACACTGGTAACAAAAAGTGCTGTTATGAAAAGAAGAAAAAAAAAGAAAATGAAGTGGAATTTTAAGAATGTGTTTCTTTTACATGGTTAGATAAAGCCTTCAAGGAAAACGATTTTTGGCTGGTAAAATCATCAAATTACGCTCATAATCATACAATTAATTGTGTATTATGCCGACTCATGCAAATTAAACGTTTTAAATCTTGTTGTACAGAATAATTTCAAAAGTGCACAGTAATCATACTTGAGGTACAAATGCTTACTTATTTCGAAGAATTTGAAGAAAAAAAGATTAAAATACCTTTTAACTGGAACAATTAAGCTGCACTGAATCATAGCTTGGCTAAATGTATTATTGGCAAATTTTGTAGCAGTGGCGCCTACAATTTTTGATTGTAGCCTAAAATATCTGTATAAGTTTCCAAAATGGCGACCATTTCAAATTAATTTGGCAAAAGTCAAATTCCGAAATAATCAACATTTCTTCGTTCTTTACCTAAGGGGGAGAAAAGAAGTTTAATGTTAACATTGTGTCTTCTTTGCCATCTTGATTGTTTTTCGAATTTGCAGTCACACACGTTTAAACTATATTTCGTACCGAGTCAGTGCACTCATATCGAGCTCATAAAACGAGCTCGAAGGAACCCCAGCTAATTGTTTGATTCAGAACATCGACATTTGTGAAACAGTTAATTGGGCTGGCGATGTAGTGAATCAATTGTACATGTATATCAACTTAAGAGATCATCTGCCATCGATTATAAAATAATCACATTCACTTAGTATCTCCAATTCAAAGAAATCTATTGAAAAAATTGATTCGTCTGGATAAAAAAAACACATTGCAAAATAACATTAAATCATCTCAACAACTCATTGTTATTTCCCCCATTTAGCTTTGAAATGGCTTCGGATGTTTCAAACGTACATGTATTTGACTCTAAATCCAAATATTCCTCCACTCTATCACCCTTCTTCTAGAACGCAATTTTTTTTTCGCGTGGACCTTCCTGCATCACCTGTAGCTGGAACAGTCAGATCCAGACGAAATGGACCAGGAGTGTCTTTCAAGCATAGACCAGGAGATTCCTTTAAAGATACTTTTTATTTAGTTTTAAATGATCCTGACAGAACATAAAATTTGGGATCACTGGAGTTCTTCTCTTCTCCACGTGGACGTGTACTACTTTCTGATATGTACAAATGGTATTCGATGAATTCATTGATGAGAGCACTATAGTGCAGCTAAAAGGATTTAGCTAATAGATGACAAATATGTACTGTTTCAAAGCTTAACAAAAAATATCTATGTTAAAACTATAAAAACTTTAATTAAGTGGTAAGATGGGGAACTATTGTCATAACTAACTGTATATTAAAAATGCATAACCCGTGTAGCTGCAACATAATTACCCATGTTAGATGTAACACACAAGTTAAGATATGTACGAGTATATCTGTACACATCATTTGAAGTAGTATCAAGTTTTAAGTTTTTTTAATAACTATAATATTATTGATGCGTGCGCTATGTACGTTTTATTGATGGAAGAGCCACTGTCCAAGAAATCTGTACTTCTAGAAATAGAGGAGGAAGTTATTCAAATGTATACAGATAGAATTCTGAACTTGGGCTTCATAGTAAAGAAGGACATCTCACTAAGCAATTTTATTTATTTATTATTTATTTATTACATTTGAATTGCTTAAATCAAAATTGTTTCTGAAACTTCTAATAATCAATAATTTAATTTTGATATTTTCTTTCCCCACACAATTACCTTTTTGTAAATACGAATAAAAATATGCATGTTTTTCTTCTTCTGTATTTATTTTATTATCTAAAAAGAAGAATATGTCATACCTACACTGCAGTCAAATCAAAATCAGACCCTTTGATTCGCTCACACGAGATCGCTACACAATCTTTGGGGATTAAGAATTCTGATTTGATTTTAGTCACTTTGAGCTACATTAAGATATAAGTGCACTGAGAATGGAATATGAAAGCTGATTATTTTTCTTACTACGAATTGAAAGAAGGAAGCTGATACGGTTTTACGTAATGAATTTTTATAAGAGCCACACAGATGAATGTACTTTACTTTTTTATTTGATAACTGTCTCCGGTTTCTTCAAGCACTTAAAGCAAATTTAATATCAGACACTTAAAATCGTGTATATTCTATAAAAGATACTTCCATTTTAAACCGTGAGTCACCCCTGCAATGATAAAAAACTGAATAAAGAAAAGAGATTGTTATAAAATTTTATTAGATCATACTAGAGTATTACAAAAAATGTTTCCATGAGAATCTTATTGGCTTTCTCAAGGACAGTCTTTCCTTCTTTTTTTAAAGAAAAAATAATGATATCAGGGATGCTAACAAAATTAATCCACAGATATAAAAATGAGCCCTTACAACTCTTTGCAATTTTACATTTCAATGATAAAGATTACAAGTATTTTTAGGTCACCTGAGTAAACTCAAGTGACCTATTGCTATCCGTTTTCGTCCGTCGTCGTGCGTCGTTCGTCGTGCGTTAACATTTGAACATTTTCAGCTTCTTCTCTGAAAGCACTGAACCAATTTCAACCAATTTTGGCATATAGCATCTATGGGTGAAGGGGAACAAATATTGTGAATGTCATTGTCCCTGCCCCCGTGGGGCCTGGGGGTTGGGCCAAAACCACTGAAATTAGTGCAATCTTTGAAAATCTTCTTCTTTATTCCTGAACAT